TTTTGTGGCGACAAACTTAAAGCTTTATCCAAATCTGTTTTGGCAGTCTTTGTTTGATGGAGTTTTTCGTGAATTAATGAACGTAATTCAAACGATCTCTCATTTTCATTGAATTCTAAAGATTTGTTTATGTCAGCAAGTGCATGTTTATATTTTCCCGAATGAAAATAAGCATCACTACGATCACAATAAACACTTGACTTTTTTGGATTTATGTTTAATGCTTCATTAAAATCGTCAATAGCTTCCTTGTATTTTCCTAACATTAGAAAAGACTTTCCTCGATATTTAAATGAAGAAGAACGTCTTTCTTTATCAATGGCTATAGTTAAATCCTGGATTGCCTTTTCATATTCGTTTATCAAAGTATAAATTTTTCCTCTACTTTTTAGGAGTTTTGGATTCCTTGGTTCAATTTCGATTGCAGCGTTTAAATCGCTTAATGCAGCAGAATACGTATCCTGCATTTGGAAAAGCTTAGCACGTGTTAAACGCGCTTGGATATGATTTGGATTTATCGACAAGGCCTTTTCTATATCTATCATCGCTTCATATCGCTTATTCAAAGCCATATAGTTTCTGCCTCGATCGGATAGTGCGTTTACATCATTTGGATTTGCTGACAAAGTCTTTGTCAAACCTTTTATAGCATCGTCAAACCTATTAATATTCAAATTAATAAATTGTTAATAAAAATTTTATTAATATGATTTAGTAATGTATTTTTTTTTTCTCACCTATTTAATTGTGTATAAACCTGATTACGCATGATTAAGGATTCTTTATCAGAATCATCAAGTACTAAAGCTTGATTCAAATCAGCTAGTGCTTCTTTATACTGTTTTAAAGCTTGATAAACCTTTGCACGATGCCTAAACGTTGATCCTTTCTCATTCTTTTCCAATGACATAGTAAAATCAGTAATAGCATCATTATGACGTGATAAACCAGCATATATCAAACCACGATTTTTTAGAACGGAAGCTTTAAGTTCACCACCATAATATATAAATTTTTCGATATCTCTTAATGCATCGCTGTATTGTTTTTGAACAAGAAAAGTTTTTGAACGATTTATTAAAATATTTGCATCATTTGGGTTTAATTTTAATGCTTGATTATAATCAGTTAAAGCTTTTTTAGATAGGCCTAACTTTCTATAAATATTTCCTCTTAATTCTAAGATATTAATACTAACTG